ATAGGCACAGCTAAAACAAAACGAACGAAACAAAAGCAGAAACCTCTGAGAATCTAATAAATAGGGATAAGTTTTCTGTGCTTCTCAGTTATAGCAGAAAACTGTTTCAGTGCCTGGAATCATATCAAAACATTTGATGTATAGGAGCAGATATCATGTTATCCAATATAATTTACCAATGTTCCTGGTGCTTTTAAGACCTGAAATAGGTCTAGCTGTGTACAGGAGGTAGTCATTGCCAATCTTTTTATTGAGTTCTGACTTTATAGAACCTTAGCTTGGCTTATTTTGTGTTAATAACCTCAGGTAGCTAATGTTTGCACAGGTTTTGGAGTCAGGCTTAAGTGTCTTCAGTTTAATTAGCTTCAGTTTAAGTGAGTGTCTAGCCAGGCTTCTAATATGGATCAGAGGAAGAAGTGGAAAATGCCTTCCTCGTCCTCTGAAAATAGCTAGAAATCTCCTTAATTCAAGGATGTGATGCACACAAGCAGAAAATAGATGATTTTCTCTTTTAAAGTTTTTCCTTCTTTGCTCTCTTTTCCTGTGTTTACCAGATGATCTATCAGTATAAGGCCTGATAGAAAGTAGCCAATTTTGGTCAGTTAACAGAATAAATACACAGGGAAGCAAAGCAGTTTGTGTAGATGGATGAGGATGTGAGGTTGCTATGTCAAGTAGGCCTTTATTTCCAGAATTCTGCTGTAACATTATATTCTGTCTGCGTTATCTACTTTTTTTGTACTTCACATATTTGAAAGGCAAATAATGACATCTTAGTGAGTTTTGTTTTCAATGATTTAAAGGCTTCAGGTAAACATTTAGTAATAACAGTGATGCTTAGCTTGGAAATAAGGTGAATGATGGAGCTTTTCATAAACTTACTAAAGTTACCTTTGGTGCCAAGTGAAATTAATGACAATCTCAGAGAGTCCCCAAAACTGTTGTACTTGGGCGTATTTGGGACCCTTGTGATAAGACTTTCTTCTTGAAGTTGGAAAGCAAGGATTCCAGGCACCTTTTTTTTGCACTTCAATTGTTCAGTGATTACATCTGTTAGTCAGTGAAGGATAAGGAGTAAGAGGCATCATCTGCATTATGAGGAGACTTAGATGCTGCAAAATCTACCTCACCTGTCTTGGCCCATCAAGTCAATGTGTTCAGAATGTTCACTTCTGAATATAGTGTAACAAATATAAGAAAGCTATTCTGATATGAATTCAGCGGAGGGCCATTTAAATGTCAGTGTGGGGAGCACCTCTCCTGGGTGGGTGGAGAAGTTGAGGGAGTAGGACTTCTTCAGCCTGAAGAAGAGAGTTTTGTAGTGACCTGGCTGCCATTCTCTGTACATTCAAATATATTACTGAGAAGATGCATTCAGGCTCTTTACAACATTGCATGAAAACAGCCTTTGGCTTAAAGAAGGGAGGCAATCTGAATATAAGGAAGATTTTTCCCTGTGACTGCAGTCAAACAGAGGAAGAGATTCTTCCAGAGATGGTTGTGCTGTCTTCAGCCTTGGAAGTTTTCAAGATTGGAATCTTCTGGGTTTTTATCTAATTTGGTTTGGCTTTGTTCCTAATTCTGCTGTGAGTCAGGAGGCCAGAGTAGAGACCTGCTGAGTTTGTTTTCAACCAGCATTACTCCCTGATTCTCTGATTCTCTTCTGTGCTTATCAAAAACTGACTGAGACCTACGGCCTATTTCCAGACTACATACAGTGCTTGAGATATTAGGCAGCTAAATCTCCCCCGAATTAAATCACACCTGGACTTCAATAGCTGTGCAAACTCCTTTCAGTAATTTACTTGAAACTCAACAGCAGCGAAATTTCTGTTAAGAAAAAAAGATTGATTTAGGGTTTATGGGTTTGAAAACAGTATTTTAGAAAGATCTACTGAAGAGTTTATCTCCATATAGATACTCTATTTCGGAATATTCCTGGAGTAACTGGTGTTGCACTGAGATATCTAGTGCCCTGAAATAATGGTTCCAGATTGTCTTTCTCTTTTTAATTTATTACCACCCATTGTAATCCAGCTGCCACTGTTCTGAAATAATTACCTTATTTAAAAGTGAATAATCGTCATTTTTCTTGCGTACGAAAGCTGTTATTGTCTATAACATGAAAACATAAGCTATATAATTTGATGTATTAAAAGACTTGCATGAAATCTTCATCTATCATCAAGCAATTTGGAATGTCTTATATCTATTTGTAAATAATATAACGGAAGTTTAGAAAAATAAGAACAGGCTTTATGTGGAAATACATTGGGGACATTAAATTTGACGGAATAGGTTATCTAACAAAGGATTGAATCCAATTCAAACATAATCAAGGACACTGGAGCTGGATCTCAGTTCTGACATCAGATTTCCATTGAAGTTTATGACTCTAATGCTGGTTGTGACATTCAAAGTGCTTTTTTTCCTTTTCTTTCTGTTGAACAATTTCAAATGCTTCTGCAAACTAGAAAGGATTTTCTTGTTACTGTTACTTAAATCTGGTGAAGTTTTATATGTGAAACACTGGGGTATCTAATAGCTTCTGAAGGTAGGAAGCTTTTGTATAGCAAGCAACAATTCAAGGCATGCAGAAGAGCCCTAAAATGATATGGTAGTGTTAGTGCAAGTTGGTGTTTAGAGACCCTTGCCTTAATGGTATGAGAAGCCTTGGAGTTGATACACTGTTCTATTTTCACTGTTGATATGCAGAGGCTTTTTTAGCAGTTTTTAACTACTGTGCATTGGAAAACTGTGGGTTTTTTGTTTTTTTTTTTTTGTTGTTTGTTTGTTTGTTTTTGTTTTTTGTTACTGAGGTGCATATGGCTGCTGTTTTGCTTTGGTTGCAAAGACTGAATCCATCAAGGACTTGAAATGTGTCCCATGTGGCTGAGCAAGTGTTTCTATTTCAGCTGTTTATCTGCCATGAGAAGTATATTTTTACTACTTTTTAAGATTTAGTTACATTAGTTTAGTTCACCTGTTCCTGTGAATTTGTCTTCAGAGACAAGAAATCAGAAAATTCTGCTTTTTTTTTTTTTTTTTTTTTTTATCTTGGACTTTCAACTGGAGGTATAATGATAGCCTGTGTTCTTTCCCAGTTAGTCAGTGGGAAGAAAATGAGAATGTATCAGTAAAGGCAAGGAAAATCTGATTTTAGTGAAATTCTTTTTCTACTCTCAATATGGAAGTTGCCACTCATTGAACTTGAGTTTTCTGTTTCCTCTATGAACAGACACGAGCTGAAAATTTTATGTCCCATAACTTTAGTGAATGTCACTGTTTCACCTTGTTACCATAAAGTAACACACTGATGCCTCTTTGCTTCCTAAGAATATTTTGGTGTTCTGGGACTTTGGTGAAAGGGCGGTATATGACAGTAAAGCCGATACAGTGGAGTATGGTTCAAGTGATCTTCGCTATTTGACTTTTTTCAGAGCATGAGGAAAAGCATATAAATTGTTTGTTGTTGTGTTTTTTTCTGTTTGTTTGTTTTTCCCCACAATTCTAACATGCAAACTTGGGCTTATCTTGTGAAAGAGGAGCTTAAACATTTTTCTTTCCTTCAAAATTTTGCTTTTCTGCTTGTATGGTTTCCTTTTTTTTTTTTTTTAATGAGTGTCTTCTACCTTAACTTTGTTATTGAGGGGGAAAGAAAACTAAATACTGAAAGCTGTTGAAACCAACCAAAAATGAAAAACTTCATTTTGATTCAAGGGATTTGGATCTGACTGAAGATCCTTTTAGCTCTGTTTTACTCATGACAGCAGGCTGAGTTTTAGAAGAAATCAGGGATTGTAAGCTGTAACTTCTTATTTGGTTATATTTAGCATTTAACATGTGTGAAGATGTGACATGAGCTTTCTTCTTATCATCCCAGTGTGGAAGTTTTAATGCACTCAGGTTGAAGGGCTCTGAATTTTACAGACTAGGTCTGGTGATTGTATGTGTAGTGCATCCTGTATTGTTCTGGGTCTAGTAAGAAACTGATAAGATGTCAAATTTGTGTAAGAATGACCTTTATACATGTGGGACTTTCTTTGTGCTTATTTTGCTCTTGCCAGCACCTTGGCAAAGTACTTAAATCAGAAACTATTATGAGTAACAAACAGGCAGCCTAGAACATAGTGCATTTCCTGCTGAGCACACTAGGATTTCCTCCAGATAGCTTGAAACTAGCCTTCGCTTCATATATGTATATGTGTATGTGTGTGTATGTGTATATATGTGTATATAAAGCAGAATAGGAGAGCTGATGTAGAGCAGGTGAATGTAGAATTGTTGAACTCTGTGGGTCCCTTCCAACTCAGGATATTCTACAAGTCTAACTCCAAGGACCAGTCAAAGCCACTCAGAGTTCAAATGTTATATCTGAGAGCATTGCCCAAATGCTTTTTGAACCCTGGCAGAATTGGGGCTGTGACTACTGCCCTGGGCAGCCTGCTCCAGTGTGCAGTCACCCTCTGGCAAAGAACCTTTTCCTAACACCCAACCTGACCCTCCCCTGATGTAGCTGCATGCCATTCCTTTGGGTACTGTCACTGTCACCAGAGAGCAGAGATCAGCACCTGTCCCTCTGTTCCCTTCTTGAGGAGCTGTAGACTGCCATGAGGCTGCCCCTCAGTCTCACTGCCCTCTTGTCTGAGCTGAACAAACCAAGGAACCTCAGCCGCTCTTCAAATGTCTTGCCCTCCAAATCCTTCCCCATCTTTGTAGCCCTCCTTAGGTTAATCCCTAGGTTATGTCCTACTGTCGTTACATCCAAAAGGACACATAGTGCTCAAGGTGAGGCTGCACCAGTGCAGAGTGGGAACAATAGGCATTAAAATGTCCTTAGAATGCTTGTTTTCACAGGTGTAGCACACAACACTATGACCATTGAAAACTGCACTTGATGAGTTGTTTTGCTTAATAGTACTTTAGTGACAAGACTACAGTAAACTATTATTTTACCATGATCTGCAACAGTTGCATGTTTTACCTTCTGATTATTATAGGTGCCTTCGCTTGCAAGATGGTACCATTTGTTCAATCCACTGCCATTGTAACTGAGATTCTTACAATGACCTGCATCGCTGTGGAAAGACACCAGGGAATTGTGCATCCACTAAAAATGAAATGGCAGTACACCAATAAAAGGGCTTTCACGATGCTTGGTAAGATCTTAGGTGTCTCCAGTAACTGTGCATGTAGTTGGTGCAGATGGCACAATGAGCAGAATGCATTGATAAGGCAAGTGATTTTGAGATAGAGATGATATTTATGTTTATAAGACAGGGAAAGTGCCTATGCATAGAGTAACTACTTGCCAAAATCCTGGCAATAAATCTAGAATGTGAAGTTAAATATTTACTTAACTGAGACTCTAAAACATCTGGCAGCCATTTTTTTTTTTTTTGTGAGAAGAGGTTCAAAATGTGCAAGCGCTGCTAAAGGATTGTCATAGGAGTAAATAATCCTTCTGTTTTAATATTAAGAGAATACAGATAACACTGCTCTTACAAATTAATTTTTGTTTGTATGTGGATGCTGATAAATTAAGACATTTTTGAGAAAAATTGAACTGGTAATGAAAGGTCATGCTGTTACACATCTGATTGTTGACTGTTATATATCGTATACTGAAAACTGCTATTTAATAGTCTGACTTTTAAAGATGAAGCTGTAGAACTATTAATTCTAAAACTTATGCTTCTTGTTAAAAGATGTATTTGTTTACAGGCATAGTCTGGTTGCTGGCTGTTATTGTTGGGTCACCTATGTGGCATGTGCAACGGCTTGAGGTACGTTAGGTGAAATGGCAATTCATGTTTTCAACTCAGTAATTCCTGGATCTTTTTGCACATCTAACTATGAAATTGACTAAGCTCCTGAGAAACATAAGAGGGAAATAACAAAAATTGGAGCTTTTTTTCTGTGTGCCTGCATGAGAAAGAGGAATAATTAAGTCTTGCATGTGCTGCAAGAAAGACTGCCAGCAGGGACTAGTCATGTCCCTGTTTCTATAAAAAAGCATTATTTGCATTTGAGATTTGCCCAGTAGCTGACTTTTTTTTTTTTTTAGGGGACGTAGACACAGCAGTTGTAGGGCTTAGGTTGTATTTCAGTATGGCATAGTCTTCTCCAAGATTTTGAAGAATTGTGTCTAGATGAAAGTGTAATTCACTGGCCATCATAGTTTAAGATGATACTGTACTTTTTTTTTTTAGGGAAAAATGTGGCTTATCAGAGTCTGCTACTTGTGAGTCTGAATGTTTACCAATTCATTTTGTTGTTATTTTTTAAAATGGAACAATATGTGAAGTGTCTAGATACTTGTCTCTACTTGAAAAATACATAGCAAAGATTTCTTTTGAAAATCGTGATGCAAAAAAGCTTTGAGGAGGAGTGCAAATCAGCATCTCCTGACCTCTCTTTGCCAACTTGGTTCAACACAACACTTGGTGTGAAAAAGTGCTTGGAAGAATTTTCTCATTTCAGAAAAATTCTCTGATGAATTCCAGTTGCTGTAATAAGAGCAAGGAATATTTGAATATTATATATTCAATATACAATGCAATAATATGAATGTGCTTTGTTTTTATGTTTAGGATTATTATTATTGTAGTGACTCATCTCCTTTACACTTATTACAGGTTAAATATGACTTCCTGTATGAAAAAGTGCACATCTGTTGCTTGGAAGAATGGGCCAGTCCAACTTATCAGAAGATATATACCACTTTTATACTTGTTATACTCTTTCTTTTTCCATTGATATTGATGCTTTTCTTGTACACTAAAATTGGTTATGAACTCTGGATTAAGAAACGAGTGGGAGATGCTTCAGTTCTTCAAACCATTCATGGGAGTGAAATGTCTAAAATATCGAGGTTTGTAAAGTGAAATGCACTTGAAACTTTGACTTTTAGAAAGCTATTTTTTCTGTTGTATTTTGAGAACCAGTGCAGAGAAATATTTCTTAGGAAAGTCTGCAGGCATAGCCCAGATTTCTAATGCTAGATAGTTACTTAAACAAGATACTGAAAAGAAGGCAACTTAAACATTTTTCGTCAAAATGCAGAAGTGCCATACTGTGAGTGTCAAGTCTCAATAAATCTGATACTACACATGATGTAGTGTTTGAAATTCTTGTGTTTGGAAGAAGTAGGCCACGAATTGGAAAATAACTTCTACGTTATTTCCATATGGTCTGTGGAGAATTCTTTATATAATTTTAAAATTATGAACGCTGCTTTATGATCCCTTTATAAATTAGATCAGTACTTGGGGGAAAGGGAGGGGAAAGGGGGAACAGAGTTCTGAAAAGTTATAAAAACCCAATAATTATCAATTGAAGAGAAAGGTAAATTGGTTTACATTTATAACAACTTCATTATTTAATAGTGTATGTGGGTTACCTTTTTATATTACTTCACATCTTTGCCCTTAATTGACAGATCAAGCTGATTCAAGCTGATGATGTGATAGAAACCTCTAATAGGTCTGCTCATTGAGGAGTTTATCACCTTAAGAAAGGAGAAGACTGGCAAGCAGCTTGGAACTAAATGATTCATTAGACATTTATATAAAAAAGTACCTAAGGAAGTGAGCCATTATCAGTCAAAACTGGAAGAGGGTGCAATCTTACATGAGTTATGTTGAGATGAACTTTGGGCTACTCCCTAGCTTAGCAAGCGTTTCCCATAGTGAAGATCCTGTAACTGCTACCAGTCAAGTGTTAACTTTTCAGTTTAAGTGAGAGATCTATCTTGCAATCTATAAATCTAGTTATATGAATAAAATGTGATTTTGAGAACAATGAGAATTTAATGAATACCTTGAGTTTTGAGGAAGTGCATTTCATGCTCTCATTCCAGCATTTAACCTACCAGTGAAGTCTGAACGTTGCTCTGCCAACTCTGTCAACTAATTTTTTTTTCCCCCCCTTATAATTGGGTGCTGCGGCCACAAGATGCCTTGCTTTCCTGACAGAGAAATAAAAGGTGTTATTTATTTACTACATTTATATGCTGCTGCAGTTCTTGTTTCAAAAGGAATTATGTACTTCTGATAATTTTTCCAGGGTTTTATTTGCATCTGCAACCATCAGAACATCTTGGCAAATCTAACTTAATGAGACATATATAAACTACAAATCAATTCATAGTGATTCAGTATGAAATGTCTTGATGCAATTTCAGGAAGAAGAAGCGAGCAATTGTTATGATGGTGACAGTGGTGTTTCTCTTTGCAGTCTGTTGGGCCCCTTTCCACATTATTCACATGATGATGGAATACAGTGAGTATTTGCAATGTGTCATAAAATAAAGCCTTTCCTAGGTTGGTTGTGTTTTTTTTTTTTTATAATGAAACTAGAGATGATGAAAGGCTAGTGCTGCTCAGCTATAATATACTCCTGCTAGCAAAGGTTAACGTTCTGCTTCTAAATCCTGGGTCACTGTCTTGTAAGAGTTGCATAATCAACAACAGATGGATTACTCCAGAATCTGGATTGTACACAGTTCTGCAGTGCTCACAGAAAATTTAAATACATTAGAAGTATTATTTTATGTAGTGTTGTCTTGTATCTTAGATACACTTGTGTGTCAGCTACATCTGGTCTTTCCTACTTTATGAATTAAAAAAAGAAAAATGTCTCTACCAAGACACTCTCTACTCTGCTGAAAGAGTGAAAGGGAACTTGAAATCTCTACAGCTCTTTTAGAATGTGTAAGTTCTTAGAGAGAAGATTGCTATTTTTTTTTTCTTCTGAATTTGTGCTGCAGATAATCCAGCTTTGAAAAGGAGGTTTATGAGGTATAACAAGATTCCAGAAATGGCAGACTTGAATACTGGGGTGGTGAACGAATCACTGTGGATTATTTTGTCTGTTATACTATTCTCATTCACCTCAAGGTGAAAGTTATTTCCAAGTAGAAAAATCTCTTGAACAAGTAATTTTGAATAAGGACTTCTACTTGCATCAACGTACATTCTCATACTGGTTTGAGTGAAACCAATGTGAAATATTTATCCTTGCACTTGTTCTGGTTTTAGTGATGTAAGTAGGTATTTTGAAAGTATAAATACTTGGACAACAGGGATTAATATCCCCATTTTATCTGCTAATCCATTTGAACTTTCCCAGTGCTCTGGGTTAGATGCTGTTTTTGAAGCACCATCTTGTCTTTTGCTTTTTGCTGTTTGCCTAAATTCACTTGGGTCTTGCATTGTTCGTCTCCCATCTTCTACATGAGTACTGTGACAACATGTGGAGCTATGCAGTTGGCTATTTGTAGGAGCAGTAACTGTTGTACTCTACTTTCCAAATGCAGCAGGCATTTATTTGCCTTGTGTTGCAGGTAAGATGATAGCAGATAACTCAGCAGTCTATAACCAGTTGGCCAAAAGAAAAAATATTTGTATTTGGGCAGAATAAAAGATGCAAAGATGTAACTATTAAAATGGTCTGGATTGTCTCATGATAAGGTCACCCATAATGCTTGGTGAACTAGGTTCTCTGAAATAATCTTGTGGATTATTTCAGCTGCTGAAAGGGCTTTACTTGCCATATGCCTTTGTACTTGTTATTCCATAGTTTGATAGTAGTATTTGAAATCAAGGAATTCAGAGTCCTGTATGATTTAATAATTTAAGAAGTATGAGATGTATCAAGATGATGTATTTTAACTCCATAAGATGATCTCCATAAAGTGAAGAATCCATTTCTGGTCTAGTGACAAGACAGGGATTTGTGTTATGTTGTAGTACTTACTTGGATATGGATGTGAATGGCAGAGCCAGCTGAAAAATAAATATGGCATGTATTTAAGGAACAGGAAGCTTTCTGTTTCTTGGCTATCAAATGAGTTTTTTGGCTGATAGTTTTCCTCTTCTGGACTAGTCTGTCTTTCACTACTTCTATACACTGCATATGCATGGGTTGGGTAAGATAGACTGTGATATTTGCTTGCTGATTAATTCCTATTAGTAATATTAATAAGTTCTACCGAGGTCTTTTATTGACATTAAACAAAAGTTTCTGATGCTGGACCGCATGTATACGGGTTAAGTAGTAGGTGCTGTTCTGTGCTTTTAGCATGTTTTGTTTTTCCTTTCAGGTAACTTTGAACAGCAGTATGACGATGTGACAATCAAAATGATCTTTGCAATCGTTCAAATCGTGGGATTCTTCAATTCTATTTGCAACCCTATTGTGTATGCTTTCATGAACGAGAACTTCAAGAAAAATTTTCTATCTGCCATTTGCTTCTGCATTGTCAAAGAAAATGCATCACCAACAAGGCAAGTTGGGAACTCAGGGATTACTATGAGACGGCAAAAGGCAAGTGATTCTCAGAGAGTTCCCACTGACTCGGATGAGGCTAGGAGAGAGGCATTCAGTGATGGCAACATTGAAGTGAAGTTCTGTGATCAACCGTCTTCAAAAAGAAATTTGAAAAGGCACCTCACTTTATTCAGCTCTGAGCTTCCTGTGCATTCTGCAAGCGTACAGTAGCATCACAAAGGCTTTGAGAATGGAATAAAATATTCTCTTTATGAAACATTGAACAAGCCATTTAAAATAGTTTTCTAATTTGAATGCTGAAAATGAAAGGGGGAAAATATTTTGATTATAGTAATGTTGGAATAGTAGTTCAGAAAATGTAATATATTTTATAAGGATGGAGAATAAAACTTTGGAAAAATGTTACTGTGTGATTTCAAGGAAAATATTTTTCTTTCTAAGCTAATTTAGGGCTTGCCTTGCTCTTTGCTTTAAGTAGAACAAAAACCAATTGCTTGCCAGTTTATTCTGTCCAGATGTTGGCACACTGCTGGACTATATTCAGGTGAATGCCAGAAGAGAAGCACTATGGAGAGTGTGCACACTTCCTTTGGACAGCTTGGGAAGCTCACATGGGTCTAACATTGCCTGCATGATCTACTGTCTGTGTAGCTCTGAGGACCGAGAGACTTCAGATCTGAGTTCAGAGAAAATGTAGACTGAGATGAAATTCGGTTTGCAGAGACAGAGAGAGACAGACAGAGACAGAGAGAGAGAGAGAATCAGCAATAATTTGGTTGTGATGAGATTTAGATGCATTTGTGTGTGAATGTTATTAACAGGAAACATATTAGAAATTAACAATGCATGCATAACTAATGTGCTGTTTTTACAGGTTATTTAGTGGGTACAAAATTAAATGCCAGTGTACTGCCCTGTAAAATGCATTATTCCTGCTGAAAAATGTGGAACTTTAAAGTGCCGTACAAATCAAGGGTCTACAGAAGAGTGATCTGTAGATAAACTCAGTGTTTACTCTTAGTCATGCTTTGACAAATAGCTTATGGGTTGGAATTGTTGCCACTTCCTGGAGGTACATAAGGGCCAGTCCCAGAACTTGTTGGACTCTAGATAAGACTTTCAGTTGAGTATTATTGTCTTTTGACTAGATGCTTAGCTGAAGATTTGCACGAACTGTGTCCATCTTCTAAGTGTGCTAATCACTGTGGAAGAACAGGGCTGGTATTACAGAATTGAAATCCATATAAATTATTAAACAAAAACAAAGGAAAAGCAACAACAACCCTCCCCCCCAAAACAAACAAACCAAAACAAGAACAACAAAAAGCAAAAACAAAAAAACCCCACCAAGCTTGCTATCACTGGGTCAAAGCTGAGAGACTGGAAAATCAAAGGTTTCTTGTGAACATGGGAATGGAGAAAGAGTGTGATCTAGTATGGTATACTGTGATCTGATCCCATAAATGATGCTTTGAAATATATAATTTGCAGCTCCAGATGAGATTAGGCTGGATCCTTTAATAGCCTGTGAGATATGGGTGCTTTTTTTGTTATCTTTCACTTTCTATAATAGACCTTGGTGTTCCCTTGATGGTGACCTTTAAGTTTCTTCGATATTGCTGCTTATGTTTTGTTGTCAAATAAGATTTAAATTATTCATGAATAAATTGGAACTAAACTGATACTTACCTAATATTTACAAATACTTGGATAATTTATTCTGATGCTGGTTTATGATGTACTCATTATTTAATTTTCTATTTATTATTATTTTTACTGTATATGACATAATTTATTATACTTATAGAGGAAGATTCCCAGCTTGACCTGGCAGCCAGGAATTAAGAGCACTCTTAGTCAATCTAGTTTATGTATTAGATAAAACGCTGATTTCAGAGAGCTATGTCTGGCTAAAACAGAATGAGTGAAGTCAGTTACTGTTTTAGTCATACAAAGGTGCCCTTTTGCATTACCTTTGAATAATGCTGGCAAACAGCTGCAGCAGTTTTTGCCTGCGATTGCAGCTGTGATTGCCTTTGCTTTTCTGTCTTAGTTTGTCTTTCTGGAAACAGGTCTGTAGTTAAGTTCCCTGCCCTGAAGAAAAGGGCCTCAGAAAGGTCAATTATGACAGCTTTCCTCAGATGACACAGTTTATCCGGCTGATGTAACCATATGGCTTGACAGATCTGTAAAAAGCACTTTATTTTAAGCTTTTTTGTACTGCTAATTTTAGTAACATACTTCAGCAAAGGTGATAGCTTTTTAAAAAAGCTTCCAAACGTTGTATGTGTTTTTGTCTTACCTGCTTGTTGTCTCATAAAAGTTATGTCCACAAGTGACTGTATTAACTTTTTTCATTAAAATTGCATTTTGACATTTCTTGGAGCATCTACTATGAATTTGGAGTCTATTTTTGTTTAAAGACTTGTATAACTTTATATGTGCATTTCTAGTGATTAATTTCCAGTCATGTTAGAAGTACCAGCTGCTACTGTAATCCTGAGAAATGTGATTTAAAAGGCATTTTTTTAACAGAAAAGTTAAAAGAAAAGAAATAAACAATATAGTAAAAGAGAAGTGATATTTCAACATAATTTATGCTTATAGTTAAGTATAAATAAAACAAAGATAGTTATGGTACATCTTTGTAAACTATATTATTAGTGCCTTTTGAATCAACAGTCTTCTCAATGTGTTAAGAACAGCCGTGCTCTCCTCCTGGCTTGCTTGCTTTTTCCTTTTGGTGTTACTAGAATTGCATAATGAATTTCATCAGAAGACGTTCTGGATAGAGATTTACTGGTCAACAGAGAAGATAACTGACTTCCCTGAACTGAGAGTATTTATCAGTGGATTTGTTCTTCAAGAAAAAATGCTTCTGAAAAGATCCTTTCTGTTAACTTCAGATCAGTTACATTGTGAAACAGCTTGAAGAAACTTAGTTTGACTGCTCAAAGTATTTTTTTTTTTTTTTTTTTTTTTTATTCTCAGCTGTATTGAGTTATGCCTTTAAAGTTACCATGAGATTATGCCAGCAACTGGTACAGAAGTGAAGCCATGAATCTGAAAGGATGCATTCAAGAGAATGAAGTCTGGAAATATGAATGGACTAGAAAAAAAACCATCAGATGTATGTTGTCTGAATTCAGAGGGTGTAAACATGAAGAACAGTGAGTAGAAGGGAATGATTGCAGTTGTGCAGCTGTTACAGAAATTTTTGGGGTTGAGGGTGAGGTTTGGGGGAGGGCAGATATTGCATAAAATTGCTTCCTAGGAGAATTTTAATGTTATTTCTGGGGAAGAGTTTCAAAGAACATCAGATGGATTCATTTGTGGCTGTATTTCTCAGCTGTAGCAATATATACCGGGCTGTGTTTTGAAGGAGCTATACTTTTACTGCAGACATGGATTCTGTTACAGACTAGCATAATGGTTTGTAGGCACCAAAAAAATCTGAATATAATGAGCAGTTGAACAGAGAGCACTTACAGCTCCTTGCAATACAAACAGCTTGTCATGATATATTAGTGGTACTGAGCACAGGGATCATCTAGGTGCAGACAATGAGATGTCCATTTAGAGCCTCATGGTAGAAGATCTGAGCACGTGGCACGGTGCTTGAGGGCACACATTTGTGTGGGACAATGAACTGATGCAGCTTAGCGCAGTACTTACTGATGAGGACATATGGTCTGTTTTATGAGGTGCTGGTATGTAAATGGATACAGGAGAGCCACAGTTTGACCTCTTTGTTTAGGGTGTCTGGTCCGCTCTGTTTGCAGTTCAGTTACTAGTAGACAGCTGTTTTGAGTTTGTGTCAAGGTGCTGGAGGGGGCTGCTGGGCTGCTTTGAGAGGAGAGGCCAGAACTGTTATGCTGAATATGGCTGGTTCCAATGGCACAGCCAGCTGGCACGGCTGAACCCCTCAGCAGGACTTGGCAATGCCTCAGGCACATTTAAGAAAGAGTGGAAAACACCAGAGGAGAGAGGAGGAGAAAACAATGAATAAGGAGCAGAGAAGGGAACACCAGAGTCAGAAGGAGGTGGTCTCTGTAGCCCTTGGAAAGCCTTGGCTGTTACTTTTCTGAATGACTGCTCTTGTGGAGGAGACGCAGCATAGCAGGGAAAGAGAGAGGGGAGTGATAGGGATCAACTGCTGTGTGCTGACCACATGCTGCAACTCATTACCTAAATCTATTGGCAATAAAGTAACTGACCCACAAAACCAATGGGTAAGCACTCTTCCTGTTTTCATCTTGACCCCTGGGTTTTCTCATTCGTGTTTGTTTGCCTTGTTTTGTATTCTCCTCATCTCCTGCAGAGAGTAGAAAGTAAATGAAGATTAATTTAGTTATTTGATGGAGATAAGCAGTCATTTATCAGGTGATCTTAATAAAGGAATCTGAGGAGTCTTATCTAATGTTGAGATGAGGTTATTTGGGCTGCGGAGTCTTGTCCCTGAAAAGGATAGATGGAGAAACTGACTCTGAGGTACTTGGCCCTTGTGGGGCAAGCAACACAGGCTGGAATGCTAGTAGAGGCAGTGCTTAGGGTAACAGGGCAGGATGCAGAACCTGGAAGAGGCAGCCAACAGCTGGTATCTTAGGAGTATGGCTTGTGGGAAGGGAAGTGAGAACAATGTTTGTATGTGCATCTGCTCTTAATAGTTTCTTTTTGAAGCGAGTCACCTGTTGCTTTGCAGTCAGATTGAGATAAATACTCCTTTTGTGGAAGACCATGTAATACAAGTACCTAATTCTGCAAAGATGCACACTGGAAACATTTTCCTCACTGAAACAGTGCCTGTGAGAGTGGCTTAGTTTAGAAGTAATAGTTCAACTAAGGGAAGTCATAAAAAAACTGATGGACAGGATTTATTTAGCTGTGTTTTGGGAAGGAAGACTTAAGTAGCAATTAAGCAATGATCTCATTTTTAGAGGGATATCTAGGGTGACTGAGACAGCTCAGTAAAATCAAACACTGCATTTCATTATTCCTTCTGAGTTCACTTAGGTTTTTCTCAGATACTATTTTAAGTGGTGATTGCTGTTTATTAGTTACTGTTGTATGACACTGGTATTGGAACTACTTTGAGAAATGGTTTAATATATTGCAGTTTGGTGTTTACCCCCTTTCAGAAGTGCTATAGACTTCTGACAGTAGAGTTTGCACTTGAATATATTAGCCATAATTTATGTAATCTATATCTTAACACATACTCTACTAAAGAGAGAAAATACCACAATTAGTGCTTTGACTTTAAGGTTCTATTTGTACTAAATATCAAAATGAGAAAAATCTGTTCATAGCAGCATCATCCAATTATAGCATTGCTTGTATTAAAGAAGCATCCAAGTGTGCTTGTTTGGGATTTCCTTGGTCAAGCTGATCTGGAAACACAACCTGAGGGTAAAATTCCTGTTTCTAGGTTCCTATCTTAACTTAGCGGCCAAACTTCTCATGGTTTATGTCCAAGTTTCCTGATCATGTTGCAATCAGATTTGTAACTGTGTGGTAAAAGCTGGAATCAGTTCTTGTTAGACATGAACCTTTCTTTTTTTTTTCTTTTTTTTTTTTTTTTCCAAGTAGGCTTTGATTATTCCTAGGCAAACATTACAAATGGTAACAGAGAAGATGGCATGCCTTAGTTTGGCACTGTATGTTTGCAGCATCTCAGGCCAAATTCTCAAAAAGAAACCGAAACAAGCACATCAACAAAAACCAAGCAACCAACGCATCAGTCTACAACCCTGAAAGAAAATGGAAAAAAAAAAAAAAAAAAAAGAGAGACAAAAAACCCCCCACAAAAACAACTCTTAAAACTCTCAAACCAATAGCAACAAAGAAGTGAACAAATAAAAACAGCCCTGAAGATGATAATGTAAGGCATTGGATTATGGTTAGTGTTTTGGGGAGTGCTGCCTGGATATTTATTGAGATTTTGCAAGACAAGTTTGTATAATAAAGTTTGTAGGTAGAAAGTAAACCTGCAAGTTGCTTGTCTTCAGTCAAAAAGGAAAAACTTAAGTTGAAATTACATAGCTAATAATATAACTGTCTCTTGCTGAAGCTGTATTGCTCTGGTAGAATACCCATTAGAAATCTGTTTTGAGAGGGTAATAATGGGGATAGGGGTTTTAAAGGGAAGCATGCCCCAAATGTTGGATTGCTGGGCTAAGGTGAATGGGATGAGGTTCAAAAAGACCAAGTGTGGGGTCCTGCACTTTGGCCACAACAACCCCATGCAGCACTATAGGCTTGGGGATAAGTGGCTGGATGACTGTGAAGAGCAAAGGGACCTGGGGGTGTTGGTTGATGCTCAGCTGAACATGAGCCAACAGTGTGCCCAGGTGGCCAAGAGGGCCAATGGCATCCTGGCCTGCATTAGAAATAGTGTGGACAGCAGGAGCAGGGAGGTGATCATCCCCCCATACTCAGCACTGGTGAAGCTGCACCTGGAGTATTGTGTGCAGTTTTGGGCCCCTCACTACAAAAAAGACATTGAGGCCCTGGAGCGTGTCCAGAGAAGGGCAACGAAACTGGTGAGGGGTCTGGAGCACAAGTCTTATGAGGAACAGTTGAGGGAGCTGGGATTGTTCAGTCTGGAGAAGAGGAGGCTTCTTCAGTTGTAGCTGCACTCTACAACTTCCTGAAGGGAGGTTGTGGTGAGGAGGGGTTTCCTCTTCTCCCAGGCAACAAACAGGACCTGGGGAAACGGCCACAAATTGTACCAGAGAAGATTTAGATTGGACATAAGGAAGAACTTTTTCTCTCAGAGAGTGGTCAGATGCTGAAATGGCTGCCCAGAGAGGTGGTGGAGTCGCCGTCCCTGGCAGTGTTCAAGAGGTGTCTGGATGAGGAGCTACAAGATATGGTTTAGTTTGTGGTAGCAATGGTAATGAGAAGACTGTTAGACTAGATGATTTAACAGGTTATTTCCAACCTTGTGATTCTATGATTCTATAAAATGAAAGGGAGCTGTCAGAGCAGAAAGTGGATGAATGCTGACGTGAGCAAAGCAGAGATGGTCAGCTGAAAGATGCTCTTAAGTACATATAAACCTTGTCCAGAATTCAGCTGTCCAAGGCTTAGTTCCATGAAGTATGAATATAAGCACTTGGCTTAGCTTTAAAAAATCACTGAGCTGAGAGTGTCTGGCAAAGCCATGAAGAAAAATGTCCACAATTTTGTTTGGATTTGTTTCTTACTATGATAGAAATAGCAACTCATGAACATGAAGGAAAAATCAAATTATGAGGTATGAGGAGGAAAAAATTGAGATTTAAAAGACAGCAATTAGAAAATATTGAGTATTGGCTTGGTCCAAGGAGTAACAGGAGGCAGCCTCTCTTTTCACATTTCATGATTGCCATGCC